CACCGATCGGTCTGTGCAGCGCCACATCAAGTTGAACACACTTGTACACGTAATTGCATCTCTTTGACCATTCTCTGTAAATCCCACCTTCTCACGCGCCACGATTGGTCAATTATGTACAATGCCTGCATGTTATTGGTTAAACTACTTTTTGATCATTACCTTCAGCAAGTATGAGAACCGGAAAACAAAGCCAAAACCTGGATATTTTAGGCAATATAGAAATCCTGGTCAGGACCTGTCCGGGGGGAAAAAAACAAAAAACGAATGGTCACCCTACTTCAGTAGAAGTGTTGCTGGGGGAACGAGATGAGTTATCACAAATATGTTTGTGTAAAGGACTATGTGGGCGACAGGGTGTGAGAGAGAGAGGCAAAATGGAGAAGGAGAGAAATACAGAAAGAAGAACAGAGGTACTAATTGAAAGAGAGAAGGAAGGAGTGAGAGAAGGAGTGATGTGCAAAAAGAGAGGAAAGTGCAGCTGACAGGCTAATAAAACATGCAGAGAATTACAAAGGAAATGAGCCTTCTACTCTGCTCACACATACAAGCTCACACTCCCACATCCTATCAAACGCACAACAACAGCTCCATCTGCATCAAGGGATGTCAGAAGTCTATGACAAAGCAATGTCAAAAAAATGTTAACAGTTTTTGGGGCAGTGCATGTGAATGGTACACTTTTTTATTTTATTTATTTATTTATTTATTTATTTATTTTTTTTGTGTGGTTAGAATGGCTGTCTTATTAATGTAAACACTGTTTGTTAATTGAATGTAGGACCAAAATTTGAGGTAGTGTTTCAGAGTATTGGATTCAATGGTAAATGTGGTGTAATAGAGCTGAATTTACTGATACTTGATACTGACAAGAAAAGAGAAAACCCTGCACTGCACTTCTTTATTACTGGCTTTTTATCATTACTTGAAGTCAGCAGCATTTACTTATTTAAAGGCAACAGTTACTTATCTAATATTAATATAGTCTATATAGCCTATTACAGTTCAGAAGTTTGGGGTCGATAAGATTTTGTTAATGTTTTTGCAAGAAGTCTCTTATGCTCACCAAGCCTATGTTTAATTGATAGAAAACGATTACTTTTTTTAACGATTAATTTCAAAATATTGTTTTACTGTATTTCCTATTTTAATATATTTTGAAATGTAATTTATTCCTGTGACAGCACAGTTAAATTTTCAGCAGTCATTACGCCAGTCTTTTGTCACATGAATCCTTCAGAAATTTACATTTATTTATTTGGCAGACGCTTTTATCCAAAGCGTCTTACAGTTTAGGAGTACAACAAGCGATTTATCATAAGATGGCAAATAACCCAAAAAGTGCCTTCATTCTACATAGTAAATGCTAGGACAGGAAGGGATAAAGGATAATAATAGAATAGAAAAAGTGAAGACAGAATTATTATTATTTTTTTTAAGGAAGAAGCAGTTAGATGCTCACAGAAGAGATGAGTTCTCAGTTGTTTCTTGAAGATTGTGAGGGATTCATTCGGCTGTCCGGATGAAGTTAGGCAAATCATTTTAATAGGCTGATTTGGTGATCAAGAAGCATTTCTTACTATTATCAATGTTGAAATCCGTGATGCATTCATTTCAGAATTCTTTGAATAGAAAGTTTAAAAGAACAGCATTTATTTTATATAGAAATGTTTTGTAACGTAATATATACATAATGTCTTTGTCACTTTTGAAACCCTGTTGAAGCCAGCAAAGGGCAGTGTGCGATTTATCTGCCACTGTCTGTTAGGGGCCGCACGATGTTTCCCTCGACTTACATCAGCCCCTTCAGATGGGCCCAGAGAGACTCAGAGCAGCACAAGAGGGTAATACAGGGTTTAGCTCTTGAGGTGCTCGTTCACTCAGGGAGATAGAAATCATGAGAAAAAGAAAGGCTTTAATAATCTGTGTTTGTGATAATTCCTTCCTTCAACTTAAAGTATTATAATGGGAATATATCATCTTGGAGCTCTCTCTCTCTCACTCAGAGTAGGATGGTGCATGTCAGCTGGTTTTGAGGTGACCACAGGTGTGATGGGGACGGACACATGGGGACAGACTGCTTTTTTGTTGCTGGGCAGCAAAACTGAGTTTTTAAAGTGTGTGTGAAAGAGCAGTTGAGGGGAGGGCTTGTTAGAGGTCATGTACCAATACAGCCCTTCCCTAGAGGATTCAACATTGCTCTGTGTGTGTGTGTTCATTTCCTACAACTTGTCCCAGATGGATTTTTACCAGAACATTGCAACTGTGCTGCTTACAAGATGCCTCACGATGAAGGAAACCCCAATCACAGAACTGATAAAGAAGTTTCTTACTTCAAATGCCATCTGAGAAAACGGATAAAATATCTGACCACAGTTAAATTTAAATGGAGAAAATAATGTAAAGTAATTATTAGGAAATTAATTCAGGCAATGGATTCCCATGTTACATTTCATTCATTCTGCCCCTCAAAATCACTTAAGCTGAAGTGTAATTTTTTTTTTTAATGTTAAAATACTCTTATCCCATTTATTGTGAAATTTGTCAGTGGATTTTCCCTTAAGTTATTTGTCTCTCTAGCATTTTGTTTGTGAACCCGACCAACTCCACGTAGCAACAGTCTCAGGCAATGGAGTGAGTTTGAGGCTGTCTGTTTGGGTGAGCAATGGGAGTGTTCGGGAGACCTGTTTGAAAACTATCAATATTTTTGCTTTGCCGTTTGGAAAATTAGATGCTTCAGCTTTACCTTTTGGCACCTTTAAAAAGTGTTGTTGCACATACTGTAGTGTAAAGGTCTCTCAGAGGTCACCGTTCACACCCACAGATTCATCCCTGGCCATTTCACCCCAGTGCATACTAAGGACTCATGCCACCTGCATACACACTTCTACATCCTTCTCTTTCAGGCCACAATATCTATCCATCTCTCTCCTTCCTTCCTTCCTTCCTTCCTTTCTTCCTTCCTTCACCCTTCCCTCATTTCTTTTATTCATGTCAGTCCATTTATTCCCTCTTTGTTTTCTCGTCTCTGTGTCAGTGTCACGGTGTCTGCTTGAGCTTTGGGTAGTGCTGAAGTGCCTCTTGTATTTTTTTTTTTCTTGATGTTTAATGTTAGCATGACAGACTCGCTACTGTCCATCAAGACTGAAGACAAAATTAACTTTCAATCGATTAAAAAATACCAGAAATGTTATAGTGTAATTATTCTTGCAGTTCTCACATTTTCTGCAAGAAATTATTAATTTGGCACATAAGTGATGACGTATTCTCATTGGTTGCTCACAAATTAGCTGATGTTACATGCAACATTAAATCAATTCAGTGCATTTACAGTTCTTAGTAAATGTCTCTGGTCTTATTGGGCACAATTCATCAGTGCAAAAAAAAAAAATCTTTCTCTGCCTAATTTTTATTTATTTTTTGCTCTGCTAATCTAACCAAATTTCCCTGGGCAGGGTAAAAATTGTTAACTAATAATATTAAGCCACCCATGTCTGTATGGAATGATCATACTGTAGTCCTGCCCTACATTATTTCCCAATTATGCTCTGTTTGGCTTGGAAATGCATCACATTATGAAAGTTAATTGCATTGTGAATGTCTTAAATTTTTAAATGAGAATGAACCCCTCTGATTGGCCAGTAGAGGTCGGTCACACACATTTTCACCAAATAAACCTGCAGGATCATTATTGTATTGTGACTCATTATTATTAAAGCATGAGATTTGCTGACAAACCTGTCTGTGTACTACAGATGAGTCATTTGAACACAATTTTATTCCGTTTGTTACTTTTGGCATGACATCACTGCATTATGGAATAAATAAACAATTTTGTTTTCACTTTTTAACTCTGTTTAGAAAATCCAAGAAGTCTTGTTTTTTTTAGTTAAGAGATTTCAGAAAGCTGCAAGTCTAATTTCTCTGAAATGAATCCTTTAACATGATTCCTTTACTTTCCTTTTTAATCACGTTTTCATCCATATTATAGGACCAATTAGAACTGACTCTTTGAATGATAAAGTATATAAGCTGATAACACCAGATAAAATAAGTCTTCAGTGGATTGGTTTTGTCGAGTGTAGCTTGTACAATTCTTGGTTAAGTTGCAGTGTTGTGGGGATCAAGTCTGCCCATCACCTCGGATGTGTCGCAGTCCGCTCAATAGTTCACTATGAAGTCCATTTATTATTATTTTGTCTTTTAAAAGAGATTTTGTTTGTAATTATATTTCATCTAGAACCGTATCAGAAGATTTATAGTGGTCAGAACAAAAAATACCCCAATTATTTTTGTAATCTTTTTGTTATACTTATTATGTTTATATTTGTTAAATCTGGATGCCGTTTAAGTATGTTTTGCTTAAAACAATGCTAATTTTTGAGAATATTTCATAATGGCACAACTAGGGATGCACGATATATCGGCCACCATATCGGTATCGGACAACAGCTGTAGCGAAGATGCACAATGCCATTTTGCAATCTGGTTAATAAATCCAAATAGTGCGTGACTACACAAGGGGATTGTGTCATCGCTGTCCCAGTGTTTAGTGGACCCTTGCTAGCACCCGAATTTGTGATCTTAATATACTGATTCACAGCATAGGGAACAAGGAAGCGGAATGAGAGACAGCCCTGGTCTGTACGCTGTAATACTCCTCCATACAGGTAATTTGACAACTGCATAAACCATCTAAATCTTCATTAAATACTCTGCCTGACTGCACATAACTCTCCACAGCTTGATAGGAGTCTGCATAACGCTTCATAACGCTGCCTAACCATGCCTGTACTTCTGCTGCTAAAGTGTTTGTAATGTATGCATGTGGCTGTCTTTGTTGTCTGTTATCTTTTGTTTCTTTCTTGACTTTATTTTTTCTCTCTTTCTCTCGCTCTCTCTCATTCTTCCTGTGCCTATCTCTATCTTCCCCTCTCTCTCTCTCTCTCTCTCTCTCTCTCTCTCTCTTCCCCCTCTTCCTCTTTCTTTCTCTCTGTCAGGTCACCACCCTATTCCACCTGTAGTAGTACTTCTACTCGTACCAATTCTTCCACCTCCTCTACTGCTACTCCAGCTTCTACCTCTGTCCACACCAGTCTGACCGCAAACAGCCCCTCCACCCACCACCAGTACTGCTGCCCCGCGCGGCTCCTTCTGCCCAAGCCGCCCTGCGCCCTCCCCCCTGCCCGGCACCCGGAGCAGGCAAGGTAAGGGCCCGAGCCCACACTTCCCCTTTCGATAACCCGCTCACCTGATCCTCCACCACCTCAGTGTCTCCCATCACCCACGTTCAACCACTCACCTCTCATCTCCAACCTCTCCAGAAAGTAACGGGAAAGCTGTCCTCTCTACACTGACTACCCATAATTCCGTCGTCAAAAATGAACACTCCTATATGCCTCCAACAGCAAGTGAATTATGGCTTTTTGGAGATGAAGTGACCTTGCAAGTAGCCTAGCGAGGTCTGAACTCCAGTGGGCCACATCAATTTCAGTCAGTTTACTCTTTTTAATAACCAAATAATTAATTAAAACTAAAGAGCAATGTATTCATATGAGCTTTGTGACAATTTGATTTCATTTTCTTAAAGGTGAAGTGTGTAATTTCTGTGCCACTAAAAGGAATTGCAAAAAGAATGATACTCTTTTGTTTGTCCCGCCTTCAAACTCATGCCGGCCCACTTACACAAATGCAATTTTGTGCCACTAACAGCACAGAAATTACACGTTTCCCCTTTAAATTTGCATTCGTGTCCCTCCACACACACATCTCTGAATAAGACGTTTATTCAGTCTCCTTGGTCCAAATTATATCCACACACCAGTCACAAATGACACATCCTCACGCATAATCCTCCACACACACACCGCAATATACACTCATCCCCTCACACCCGTTCAAATGTAGTTCCACCCCCTTCATGAATCACACAGAGGTGGAGACAGAAACGCATGCAGAACCCCTCCTGCCTATACACACACACACACACACGCGCATACACCTGTCTGGTTTACTATCCTTGTGGGGACTCTCCATAGGCATAAATGGTTTTTATACTGTACAAACCGTATATTCTATCACCCTACACCTAAACCTACCCCTCACAGAAAACTTTATGCATTTTTACTTTCTCAAACTCATTCTGTATGATTTATTTATTTATGAGCTTGTTTCCCCACGGTGACACAAGTCCCCATGAGTCAGTGTGTATTCAGGTATAAGTCCCCACCAGGGTAGAAAAACATGTACACACACACCTAATTCCCTTCACACTCTGTCACTGCGTGATTCACACTCTTGTCATATTTCTCTCCTCATCAAATCAGTAATTTCTCCCATGATTTCGTGTTGCATGTATTTGTGCACATTGCTTTAGTTCACTTGATAATTTAATCTTTAATTTAGATTATGGAGAGATAAGATGTTGTGGAGTAGCCTATTGTGATGCCTAAAAACTATTTGAACTGGAATGGCAATATTTAAATTTTCACTGAATTCTTTCACTGAAGTATTTATATATGTACATAAGAGATGATATTTTAGTTAAACCGGTGCTACTTTAGTTGCCAGGGTTTTTATTGGCAGAACTGTGGTGGATGAATTCAGCTTGTGCTACAATTCTGTCCTCTGCTGGTAAAGATTGAGAAACACAGGGCTGGGGTTTGAATCCCTGCAAAGTGCAAACTAAAGACAATTCCTGAATCAGACGTGCTGGAACTGACTTTTAGCCTCAGTCAAACTTAGTTAGTGGATATTATGATATTTAAGTGATTTTCGGAGGCAGAGGTTGTCTCCTGTTTGTGGAGAAAAATAATTCTAACAAAAGAATTGTAAAGAAGATAATGCACTATAATGCCTAATAATGTAGGACTTTTCGCCACATTTTGTGGCAGGATACACACACATCAGTGGTCAACCGTTTGATGGCAAATAAAAGCGCTTCAACACCGCCATCGTCTGTATGCCTGTACAAATAATTAAGCACTTGAAGCTTTCATAAAATTAAAAATGAAACACCCAAAACTGTACATGGCATCATCACGAAGTCAAACGGTTTATACGTGAAATTTCGGAGGGGACGTCGGATGGCGTCACGTGGGGACGTAATGACGTGTGCCATTAATCGAACCATGTACTATAACATGTAAAACGGGAACATGAAAGGAATATTCTAAAGCAACTCATGTAAACACCATAATCATAATATTGGCTTATTTAGAAGGTAAAGAATTAGATTACTGATGTCCAAGTAAACGTAGTCGGTGAGTTGCTTTTAGAATATTCCTTTCATGTTCCCGTTTTACATGTTATAGTACAGAGATCGATTAATGGCACACGTCAATACATTCGCACGTGACGCCATCCGACGTTCCCTCCAGAATTTCACGTATCGGCATACAGTTCGTCTTCGGTACCATACAGTTTTGGGTGTTTCATTTTTAATTTTATGAAAGCTTTAAGTGCAATTACTTACAGTACATCATGCTATACATGCAAACGGACGATGACGGATAAAAATGTGCCGCCTTGCTTGAAGCCGTGCTATTTTGTTTGCCGTCAAATGGTTGACCACTGCTGTGTGTGTATCCTGCCACAAAATGCGGCGAAAAGTCCTACATGATGGTAATAGTGTGATTTAAGGTGTGTACATGTCTGTTCTGCACTTCAATAATGCGACTAAAATAGGAATACTCCACATGTCTTAATTCGATTTGTTTACTTCGAGTATGACTTTAGCCGGATTAAGGTAATCAAAAATCTCTGTTTACATGGTAGATACTTAATCACACTATTGTCTTAATCGTGTTAATATTGGGATATTGTTGTACATGTAAATGTACTCATTGACTTGGGACAATGGAACCACCCTGATAGCACACATACATCACGGAGACGTCTATTTGACGTCTGCATTTACATCTGCTAGACGTATTTTTTTTAGAGTGTTTGCTCTTCTGCAGTGCGTATTTAGGACGTTTCCTATCAGATGTCAAATAGACATTAAGAAGATGTCTTTAAGATGTTTATGATTTATGTATGTGTATGTAAAACTGACAACCGAAAGATATCGGTCAGATGTTTGTACACAGCAGACGTCTTGCAGACATACTTGTGCTATCTGGGCAGTAGTGCAAAAATGCTGGCTTATTTACTATTAGCGAAGACTAGACTCATGAATATTAATTCATGAACGTGACTTGACAGCCTAGGAAAATTACCTAGAAATGTCAGTGCAAACTAATTAATATTCATGAGCTCAGTTTCCTCCGGTATTCTAATTCATTTAGTGCCATTACAACCCGCCAATTTTCGACTCTCAACTCATTCCAGCACCCTCATTCTAATTTACAAGCAAATTACTCCAAATTTGAATCACAACAAATTATGAATGTTACTGGATTTATATACAACAATATATAGCAACTCATCCATATCTCCATTTGTTCGTATTTCTTCTCTTTATTGTTCTAACACACTTCTCTTCATCTGAAATTTTTTTTACTCTTTCCTCTCCCTAACCGCTTCTGCTGCACCCTAGAGAGGATGAGGACGATGACATCGCCCATCAGTTCTGTTGCCCCGCCTCTGAGTGCAGTAGCCCTTCCTCTAGGTAACCAGCAGACTTGTTGGCCCAACCCCTGACAACATCCCCCAGTTTTGCGCTGCCCACTCCAAAAAGACTGTATGGGGTGAACTTGTCAATCTTGTCAATCACCTGGATGCTAAACTTGAACCAAGTGCATCTGAATCTGCAGCCTAAATGCAGCGGATCTTAATTTAACTAAAACCGATGAAACGATACAAAAATATCCTTTGCACTAGCATGTCATCTGCATCCTACCACCTCTCGGAAATGGACAAATATCCTGTAGGTGACTGAAACAAGCGAAAGAGAATGAAAACCATTGCTGTACAGTAGTAATAAGGGGACATAATGGAGAAGATCTGAAGTGGAAGATCAATCCGAAGAGATGAACCAAGCGATGGAAAAAAAAAGAAACGATGGTCCCCTTTTCTCCACCTCTGTCTTTCACCTGGTTCTCTCATTGTCGCAATCTCAGCTTCTTTTTGTTTTCTGTTTTTGTCTTTCTTCCTCTGGCCTCTGTATCTTGTCTGCCAAACACCTGTGTAACTTTAGGACAGTCTGTGATGTGTCTGTTCCCACATTTAGTGTCAAAAGAAAGGTTATGTGTTTTTTTTTCTTTCTCCCCCCTCAGTATCATCATCTGTTTCCCCACCGAGAGAAAAAAGATGCTTGTCTGTTGGCTCAACTGTCAAAGTAACCCAACAAAATTAAGGATTTACAATACTTTTATGTATATGTATCAGGACCAGCATGACAGCAAGCCTCTGTAAAGCCATATTTGAATATGAAGCTTCACTGACCACCATTTGTCAGTTCATTTTGATTTGCTTTCTTGACATTTCGTGTCTTTTTGTACTGTTGATTACTGGCATTTGCTTATCACCTTACCAATCCAAAGCCGAACCGGTTTGCGTCATCCCACTTCTACAAACTCAATCTAAAGTTTGTGACTCTGTACATACATGTAAATGTCAATGTTTGACACGTAATGCAGTGCAGGACACTTTGGACCATGTTGAAGGAGAAAAAGACCTGGGTGGCATGTTAGCCTAGCGGTGTAGGTTAGTAACAACAACAGGGTTTAAGCGGTGCTCCAAAGGCTACTCAAGTTTTTCAATCTCTGGCCTTCTTCAGTGAATGAATCCTCCAAAATGGCACTGAATTATCCAGGTATAGTAGTGAGATATTATTATTATTATTATAGTGAACTTCTTACTGTACCTCAGGTATATAAGATACAACGTAAACAAAACGTTTGGCACTATTGTAGATTACATCACTCTGGTGTGGTGGTTCCAGTAGCTAAATGTCCAGAGTTTGACATGCTGTCACAGTTCAAAAACGGTCTCACCTCATTGGTCAGTGTCCAAGATCGTTTTGGATGAGTTATTCTAATACTGTAGTGTTTTGTTTGTAATATGTAATTGAACTGACAATATCCTGAATGGTCATACGCACAACGTACTTAATGAATTGCTTTGGAAAAACTGATTCTTACTTTAGCATTTATCATTTTAATAAGATTAGTATTCCTTGCCTGATCAGTTATAATATCAACTGAAAAGGAATGTTGAGGTCAGATGAAAAATGAATGTAAAAAAAGGTGATAGGAATCATTGCATGAACCAAATACCTTTCATGGGAAGAATTGCAACAGGACTGAGAAATACAAGAAAACACATTAGCCAAATGTATTACCATGAAATGCCCCCATATTTGTGACCGGATGATGACAATGACATTGTTGCCACTTGCTCAGAGACTCAATTGCATAAACTGAAAACAAGAAAATCCAGTCAGTGAGTTTCTCGAGCTCTAATGCATGTTCCAAAAAGTCATTGCTCTTTTTAAACTCTTTCATAGTTGTGAATGATAATGTTTTTTTAATTATCATTATTGTGGAGGCTTTATTGTTTTCAGTTTATGTTGTACCAGCTTTTTGGATGTCTTTTTCTGAGCCATTAAATACAGAAAGAATGGAGTTTGAAGGCAAAGGCTCATAATTCACTAGTTAACCAGTCATTGCAACAGCAATGTGCTGTCACTCACAGAGAGGGTGAACATTTTGTGGTGGAACATTTTGATTCAGGGACGTACTACAGCTGACTTTAATAAAAATAAAACTTTTGACATATGAAGTTGTAAAATATGCAAATAAAGCATCATCTTTTTTTAATATGCAAAATCAAGGAGTACTAATGTACCAAACCTTGACTCCCTGGTGCAAATTTGCAGATTTAAGTAGAAGAGATAAAATGTAGAGTTCATTCTTTTCTTTTTTTTCTTTTTTTTTAATCAATTAATTTACAATATTTAATAAATATATATTTTTTAAAAAGCAGACTTCATGCATCTAAATAAATATGCTGCTAATAGACAAATGCTTCATAAAATACTTTCTGAAAATCATCATAAATATTACAGCAGCAAAATAAAATATTCAGAACATCGAAAAAATTACGTATTGCATCCAACTGAATGCATTGTGTATGCCTGTAGTACCTCCCCTTAAACCATGCTGTGATTCACATACAGCGGCTGGAAAACGACACAACTTTACTGCTAACATGGAGATGAGTGGTGGAAACTTTTGCCTGATGTGTTCAGTCAGCGTGTTCCTGTATTTAGCGCTCACAGTGGGAATAAATGCGATGAGTCACACATGAAAGAACCCTTCTTTACTATTTTTATTCTCTCTCTCTTTCCGTCTCTCTCTCTCTTTTACATGCTGTAAATACTGAAACATAATTTCTACTCCTTTCCAAAGGAGGTGGAACATCTGTATATTTCATGAATGATAATAGATATGATATAAAACTGACATATTACTGAATATTATAAGAATGTTACTGATGATGGTGATGTGGTGGTGATGATAATGATGATGAAAACAACTGAATAAATGCTGTTATGATCCAGATTAAATGTGGTTATGTAGTTTTTTTTTTACTTCTCCAGTATAAATTGTTTATATAATAAAAAAAAGAGAAACAATTGCATTTTCTAGTGTTTTATCTTATGCAATTGTTTTAAGAATCTCCTGAATTATCTTAAAATGTTCTTGTTACATCATTTCTTTATTTTAAGTTTACAGTAATAATAATAATTGCTTTGTCTTGCTGAAGATATACCCACCCTATGTATCCCATCCAAGATGTATATGAGTTTGTTTCTTTGTCAAAATTTAGCATTACTTCACATACATCACTTGCTCACCAATGGATCCTCTGCAGTGAATGGGTGCCGTCAGAATAAGAGTCCAAACAGCTGATAAAAGCATCACAATAATCTACAAGTAATCCACATAACTCCAGTCCATCAATTAATGTCTAGTGAAGTAATAAAATACTTAGCTAAAATGCGCGTCCTCTATCAATGTTGGTTTATCCAGTGAAAAAGGTTTCTTGTCTGAATCAAGAAAAAAAAAAAAACAGATAACGCAGTTAATGATGGGTTTGTTTCTCACAAGCATGCAGCTTTCGCTTCACAATACTTGAATTGATGGACTGGAGTTATATGGATTACTTGTGGATTACTGTGATGTGTTTATCAGCTGTTTGAATGGTCATTCTGACGGCACCCATTCACTGCAGCAGATCCATTGGTGAGCAAGTGATGTAATGCTAAATTTCTCCAAATCTGGTCTGAAGAAGAAACCAACTCATCTACATCTTGGATGGTCTGAGGGAGAGTAAACTTTAAGCAAATTTTCGTTTTGGGGGTGGGGGACTGTTCCTTTAATATTTTATAATAATACGAAATTCTTAACAAATACTGTTGTTAAGAGTTTTTTTATCCTCCCTCCCAATGGCATCTTCTGGCATTGAAAGTGCATAAGTAATAACTGCAACAGACTGCCTGCAGGCCGTGCTCCAATAACGGACGCCTTCAGATTGCAACACTTGTATATACCTCTGTTGTGGCACCTCCCACATGTTTTCAAACATCAAGCTGATTCCCGGGTTGAACTGGCACTGCGTGACATTTTTAAATGACACATAACAAAAGTGCAACATCATTAAGTAAAAATCTTAGATACAGTTGGGATCCCAGACAAATTATGAATGTGCTCACTTTTTTGGGGAAAACAGGTGCAAAATTTGTGTTTCGTGTTTGAACTAACTGTATTCTGTTTTCAAGAGTTTGTCTGATTGATTGTACTGTGTGGATGTGCTTCAGTTTGTAAGTGTCACCTCAGCTGGGTGAAAGGATGGGTCGGGATAATTTGATTAAAGTCTTAGTGGGAGAGAAGAAGGAAGTGTCAGAGCTGGAGGGGGGAAGGGTGAGAACTGGAAAATACCACCTCGGGGCAATAGAAAATGAAAGGAATGGGGAAAATCAATGAACGAAACCCTGAACAGCACCATGGATGGAACCCAACATGACCAGAACATTTCCTCAACAGAGGTTAAAAGGGTTTCATCAAAGAATCTATTTCAGAAAGCATCAGTTATTTATTAGTTCTAGCATTCATATTTGAATATATTAGTATGCAAAATAATAATTAAAAAAAACTGCACCCTGGGCAAATGTGTTTAACAAGCCTCTTGAGCACATGGTGCAGTAAAATTCTCTAGAATATTATTTCTTGAACGTATTAATCCTAAGTGTATTTATCTATCATTTACTGATATTTATCAATCAGTATCTCAGCTAGGAACCGTTAACAAAGTTGTCTCCCTCTGGATTTGCTTTTGCACAGTCATCAAATCTAAATCCTGTGAGGTAACTTACATCCAAGCCAATGCTGGAAAGGGCTGGAATCTCTACTAGCATAGACACAAATGATATCTGCGTGTTAACTGCTGTCACACTTGCCGCTGGGATCTGATCTCTCATATCACCAGCACACAGAGTTGGCCCGTGACAGATAGGACAAGCAGAAGCAGATTTAAATGGATGCGCTGCAGTCTCGACGGTTGGGTGTCAAGCTCACAGCAGAAGGACTTGGTAGTCTGGGCTTTGTGGTGTGGAATATCAAGGAACCATATTGGTAGTCAAGTATTGGAGGTGCTGCGTGAATTCTCTGGAGAAGAGGAAAGCGAAAACAAGTGATGTTTTTTCTGTAGTGCATCGGTCCAGACTTTTGGCCCCTGTTCTGTATGCGGTTAGTAGGTCCCTCGCTCTGCAGGTATGTGCTCAGAAAAACCGTGCCTAACTTCACCAGCGACGTTTTCAAAGTCCAAAGTCCAAAAAGTTCCACCTTCTATTTAGTAAGTCTATCACTGTCGTTTCTAAACATTTTTCCAAAAACTCCACTTCATGCAAGCCAACATTCAAAGCTTTCACATTTAGATTTTCTATTTAAAAAATTGGTTATACGAATTTCTTTGAATTTCAGTTTATTTGAATTCTACTTCTTTACATTCAATTTCAAATGGCAATTCTGTATCCTGTTTTAGTTCTAATGAACTTAAGCAGAATTTAAAAGGTTCTCATTTAAATTATGAATGGTACACAACCCTGCTGTGGTGGTTATGACCTGTATACAAACTAGAGAGAGGAGGGTCCAGTTCTCTAAGCTCTAAATGAGTAACATTAAACAAATGAACCCACACCACCCTGCTGCTCTTAAGGCAGTTTCATTCCCTGCCTGCCTCTGGAGCTGCTGCATCAGAACCCAGAGCTAGCTTTACTCTTGTCTCATTTGTTGGTGCCATCTGCCTGTTTGTTTATTAATTGTATGTGGAATGATCATGAATAGCTCCCATTCTCTCAATAAATGACTGCATCTCCTAAGGATTATCATTCAAGTGCCCTTTATAGCCACAGGGAAACAGATGAGCTCTGGTAGACATTGTTTCATCTAAAAGCAGCACTAACCTGTACAAGCAAAACGGCCCAAATGGTCACAGATCAGTGTTTAAAGGTAGGGCCCTGGAAGTGTTGTTTTTAAGGGATTCTTTTTCAAATCAGCATTATATGGTTAAGCGATCAAGCATATTTTTGGATTTTTGTTTTTCTTTTTTCTGAGACTTTCTTTGTTTTATGGAATTGTATTGCCAGATTATTTTTTGGGGGGAGTTAATATTAATATTAATTGTAAAGTGTCCCTCTTAGTATTATTTATATACTATTGTAGCATTTATTAATATTTTGAATTAGCTTTTATTTTAATTTGTTTTAATAATTTTGTTATGTGCAATGTGTGAAAAATGATATTTAATAGCTTTAGTTTTTATTAACAGCAACAACCCTGCCATGAGCTTTGGAAAGATGCTATATAAATAAAATCAAATAAATACATTTATGTAATAAGTAATATAATACAATATAAAAATATACACATTTTATTGTTGGATAATCTTTCCCTCCAATGTAATGCTTAAATCTCATTACTCGGTTGTGTATATTTTAGATGTAAATATGCAGCGTTAAGACACTTTGCACCAGTTTTGACATCAGTGATGGCATCTTGCGCGTCATGTGACCACAAGAATGACTTAAATTTCAGTCTGTTTCTCACACAAAACTTTAGTCTTCCGGCTTCTGAAGACTGAACAAGCCATAATGACATTTATGGTGTTTTAGTAATTTATGTATTTATTTATTTTTGTCATTTTGATACCCAGCAATGTACATTCTCATTTGCTTTCAGTGAAAAAGCACACAAGACAGTACCGAATTTTTCTTTTTTGTGTTCCATGGAAGTAATAACACCATAAGGGTTCAGAATAGAGAATTGTAATTTTTGGCTTAATTATTCTTCGAATGCTGCTTTGTTTATATATATGTGTGTGTATGTGATATGTTGACAGCTAGTAGAAGTAAGTAATTATTTAGTGTAAGAGCTCTTCATAGCATCACTTCGCTTCTCAGCCCCTGAGAATCATTCATTCTCAGCTTAGTTTCCATTGGGTTCATCTCATCACCACCGAATCGTCATCACATTAAATCTTACACACATGCTGTTCATATCTGAGCTAAAGGTGTTGCAATCTGCTGCATTTGTCAGGCAGACAGCAAACACACAAGCTACCAAAACTGAAAATGGCAGCAAGAGCCAAACCGAGTTCCTAGAAACTGACTCCAAAAGTCTTTTAATACATCAAATCGCACATTTAATATGACAAATAAATATTTCAATGAAGCGCTATACTTGATCCG